CTGCTTAATAAATGCTCTGCTACTCACCCAGGGGTAAACAATGAGTTTTGCCAATTATATCAGGTAATCATGGCCATAGCAACAGGTGAGAAAACATCGCAAAGCAGCAATCATTAATGTTGGTCAAAGGGTACAAACTTTCAACTATAAGATGGACAAATTCTGGGGATCTAATGCCCAGTATGGTGACTAGAGTTAACAATACTGTATTGTAGATCTGACATGTGCTAAAGGGATATAAACAATGGTAACTCTGTGAGGTAATGAGAGTGTTAATTAGCTTGACTGTGATAATCACTTCACAATGTATCCATATATCAAATCCTCAGGTTATATGCCTTAAGTATACTAGTATATACTTTTGTCAATTATACGTCAATAAACTGGCAGGGGGGACAAAAATAAATAAATGAAATACTGACATATGCTACAACATGGATGAACCTTGAAAACATTATACTAAGTTAAAGAAGTCAGTGACAAAAGACCACACAATGTATTATTCAATCCATATGAAATCCAGAATAGACAAATCCATAGAGATGGGAATAGGTAAGCGGTTGCCTAGGGCTGGGGTTGTTGGGGAGAAATGGGGAGTGATGGTGATGGCTATAGGGCTTCTTTTTTGGATGATGAAAATGTTCTAAATTCACCAAACACTATTGAATTGCATACTTTAAATGGGTAAACTATAGGGTATGTGAATTATATCTCAATAAAGCTGTTGTAAAAATGTGTATTTTAAAAATTACAATAATTAGTTTTCTTTTTTGTATTAGTGCAGTTTTGTTTTTGTTTTATTGTTAATTTTTCTGAGACAAGTTGTGATCTTTCAATATGCAGATTCAAGAGGTTTTTTTCTCCTCTTTTTTCGTTTTCAATTAGTCAACATACAATATTATATTAGTTTCAGGTATACAATATAGTGATTAGACATTTATGTAACTTAAACTGTGACCACCCTGGTAAGTCCAGTACCCACCTGGAACCATCCATAATTATTACAACATTAGAGGCCCAATGCACCAAATTCGTGTAAGAGTAGGCCTTACTTCCCCCAGCTGCCAGCATTGGCTTCCCTCTGGCACCCAGGACCTGGGCTTCCCTCACAGTCCAAGCTTCATCTGGAAAGACATCTAGTCTAATTAGCGTATTATGCTTTTATTATTGTAGATTGTTGACTGTGTTTCCCATCCTGTATTTACAACCTTGTGACTATTTTGACCACCAGTTCATACTTCTTAATCCCCTCACCTTTTTCACCTACCCCCCAACCCTCCTCCCATCTAGCAACCCTCAGTTTTTTCCTGTATCTATGAGTCTGTCTGTTTTGTTTGTTCATTTATTTTGTTCTTTAGCCTCCACAGATTAGTGAAATCGTGTGATATTTTTCTTTCTCTGTGTGACTTATTTCACTTAGCATAATAGCCTTGGGGTCCATCCATGTTGTCCCAAATGGTTAGATTTCACTCTTTTTATGGCTAATATATTCTATTTTATACCTATGTCTTTTTCCAAGCATCTATTGATGGGCACGTAGGTTACTTCCATATCTTGGCTATTGTAAATAATACTGCACTGAACATAGGGGTGCATACATCTTTTTGAATTAGAGTTTTGGGTTTCTTTGGATAAATACCCAGAAGTGGATTTGCTTGGTCATAAGTTAGTTCCATTTTTAATTTTTTGAGGAAACTCCATACTGTTTTCCATAGTGGCTGCACCAATCTGCATTGCCAGCAACAATGCACCAGGGTTCCCTTTCCTCCACATCCTTGCCAGCACTTGTTTGTTAATTTATTGATGATAGCCATTCTGACAGGTGTGAAGTGATATCTCATTGCGGTTGTTTTGGTGTTTTTTTTAAAAATCCTCACCAGAGGATGATATGTTTTTGATTTTTTTTAGAGAGAGAGGAAGGGAGAAATAGAGAGATAGAAACATCTATGTGAGAGAGAAACATCGATCAGTTGCCTCCTGTACACACTCTGACTGGGGATCAAACCTACAACCTAGGTATGTGTCCTGACTGGGAATCGAACCTGCAGCCTTTTGGTGTACAGGACAACACTCCAACCAACCTAACCTCCCCCCGCCCTGTCCAGGGCTCACTGTGGTTTTAGTGTGCATTTATCTGATGATTAGTGACAGTGAGCATCTTTTCATACGTCTATTGGCCATATATATATATCCTCTTTGAAGAAATGTCTGTTCAGGTCCTTTAACCATTTTTAATTGGTTTGCCTTGGTGTTAAATTATATGAGTTTTTGTACAAACATTAGTTTTCAAACATTTGCAGGAAGTTGAGGGTCAGCTGATCAATAGGGCAGCTCTGGACTCACCCATCTGGGGGTCTGATGGAGGCTGCCTGATCCAGGCTGGGCTCCACTGGGATGGCTCCTCTTCACTTGTCTCTCATTCTCATCTCAGGACCAGCGGGCTAGTCTGGGCCTGCTTCTCGAAGGGTGATGGCAAAGGTGCAAGTGAGGAAGCCCAGTCACCAAGCCTTTGGTCAGATCCTGGCCACTTTCTTTCCTCATCTCCTTTGCGGCATGGGTGGCCACAGACACAATGTTGGCAAATGAGATTTAAGTAGAAATCTATGGGAGGGCGTTTGCTTTTTGTCTTATAAGAAATATCTAAAGGTCATATAAGAAACATCTATAGGCTTTCTCCCTTCCTCCTTTTTTCTTGTATTGACTACAGGATGTAATGCCTACAGCTGTAGCAATATGGCAGCCATACTGCTACGCATCTTTTCATGTCTATTGGCCATATATATATCCTCTTTGAAGAAATGTCTGTTCAGGTCCTCTAACCATTTTTTAATTGGTTTGCCTTCGTGTTAAATTATGTGAGTTTTTGTACAAACATTAGTTCTCAAACATTTGCAGGAGGTTGAGGGTCAGCTGATCAATAGGGAAGCTCTGGACTCACCCATCTGGGGGTCTGATGGAGGCTGCCTGATCCAGGCTGGGCTCCACTGGGATGGCTCCTCTTCACTTGTCTCTCATTCTCATCTCAGGACCAGCGGGCTAGTCTGGGCCTGCTTCTCGAAGGGTGATGGCAAAGGTGCAAGTGAGGAAGCCCAGTCACCAAGCCTTTGGTCAGATCCTGGCCACTTTCTTTCCTCATCTCCTTTGCGGCATGGGTGGCCACAGACACAATGTTGGCAAATGAGATTTAAGTAGAAATCTATGGGAGGGCGTTTGCTTTTTGTCTTATAAGAAATATCTAAAGGTCATATAAGAAACATCTATAGGTTTTCTCCCTTCCTCCTTTTTTCTTGTATTGACTACAGGATGTAATGCCTAGAGCTGTAGCAATATGGCAGCCATATTGCTACCATAAGGAAAGTCCAAAAGAACCAAGGACGCTGTCCCTGCTATCACGGAGCTTCACTAATGGAGCAGCATGGGCACTGCTCATCTTTGGATTTCTTGTCATGTGAGAAAAGTAACCCCTATATGTTTAATGCCATTGTTTAGTGCAGCCAAAGATATTTCTCGCTAAAATCCCATCGCAACTAAACCGAATAATCTAGTGTTAAATGACAAAGCTAAAACAATTTCGTAGTAAGTTTGATGTCATTGATTCACGGAAAAACAATCCATGAGTTGGGGACAAACAGTGCCTCACCAGCAGTGGGACCCTCTTCCCACAGGCTTTTGAGAAAGAGCGAGTTTTATAGAATGTTAGACAAGGCAATGTGGAAACAGGGCACGATTGGCCAGGAAGTCGGGGATTTGTTGAGAAGGCCAGCAGGTCCTACTTTCTAAGTTAAGCTAGCTAAAGCTGAGTTGGGGGACTGTGATTGACATCTGTGCCCATAAGTGCAGGCTGACTAAGGTTTAGATTTGTGACATGGCCATGCCACAGAGGTGGACAGCCTCCAGTTTGTAAGCCCCAATGCACGAATTCATTTTATCACTAGTATATATGCTAAGTGGAACACTGGAGTGATGAGAAAGTCATACACTGTGTGTCAGTCCAACTTTCATTCATTCAACAAATCTGTATTGATCACCTTACACATCCTAGTTACCATGAGCAAACATGGTCCGTGCGTTCTGAGAGCTGTTGAGTTAACAGGCCACATGGATAGCCATGTCTAATGATAGAAGCATGCATGGACTGACAGTGAATAGAATGTGATGTTGCAAAATGTTATCATATTTGTAATACAGAAAAATTAGGTGACATAGAGATGATAAAAAAAACCTGAAAATGTGTGAATCATCAATTTTCTGTACCAGAAATCAGCTCCCAACGCAGACTAACAAGTGGATTGACTGGGTGGTCCCTGACAGCCCTTTACTTCTGTGAACTTCAGTTCCTTCATCTGCTGATTAAGAAATTAACTCATCTGACTTCTAAATTTCTCTTCCGCTCAAGTCTTTCCTATTCTGGGGTTAATGCTATGTTACAAGGAAATATTAACAAGATTTTGAAAAAAAATCCTACTTTCCAAGCATTTGGGTAGGACCATAATTATACATGACAAATAATAACTGATAGGAAAGATTTCCCACTAACTGGAGAAATTGACACAGTACCATAATCTTTACAGAAGAACGTGTTTGTTTGGGAGATGCATTGCAAAAAACTTTGCTGAAGGAACAACCATCAGCAAACATTTGATAAGTGCCTACTGTGTATAAGGCACCCATATAGAGCTAAAAACCCAAAGTGACAAAAAAAAAAGTACTAAACCTGGTCCCTTCTTTCAAGGAGCTTAGAAACAACTGAGCCCTGGCTGATATGGATCAGTTGATTAGAGAGCCAAAGGGTAGTGGGTCCAACTCTGGGTCAGGGCACATACCTGGGTTGTGGGTTCAAACCCCGTTGGGGTGCATACAGGAGGCAACCAATAGATGTTTCTCTCTCTCCCTCTCCCTTCTTCTCTCTCTAAAATCAATAAACATGTACTTGGGTGAGAATTAAAAATAAAAATAATTTAAGTCATTGGTACTAGTATGTGTGTATCAACAGGACTGACCTTCCACTGGGACATGCAGTACGGCCTTAGAGTGTTGTACAGCCAGGGATGGTTCTGATCGTTCTGTACAGATGTCCTCGTGGAATGCTATTCCTGCGTAAAAGAAAGTAAGTCTCAGTGCCAAGAATCAGATACATGAAAGAATCACATGTGACACATTAATCAGTGATTTAAAAAATTGTCAGCCACAGAAACCACACTTCAAACAAAATCATAAGCCAAATACATATAAAAGCATACAAACATACATACTGGTATGTATATATTAAAGCTGCTGTGGTTAACATGTGAGGGCAAAGGCCTCTGTGTGGTCAGGAAACCCCCAATGTGACAGGGTCGCATAGTGGAGAAGACACGGGTCTGTCCTCACTGGCTTTCCACACAGGACAAGGGGCCTCTCTGAGCCTCAGTCTCATCATCTGTAAAAGGAGAACCGAGTGAGATGCCGCTGCTACGTAGGTCTCCACAGGTGTAGTTAATGCTTGACATCAGGGTCACCTGCACTGTGTTGAAGAAACTCTCCCTACAGCAGTGGTTCTCAACCTTGGCTGCGCATTAGAATCACCTGGCAATCTTTTTAAAATCCTGATTTCTGGGCCTCATCCTCCGGAAATTCTGTTTCTTTGTTACTAATGTTGTGGCCCCACCCCGTAACAAAGAAACAGAATTTCTGGAGGACGAGGCCCAGAAATCAGGATTTTAAAAAGATTCCCAGGTGATTCTAATGTGCAGCCGAGGTTGAGAACCACTGCTCTACAGTGTCCCTTCTCACCCATGAGTTGCAATCCTAACCCAGCCTCAATCTTCAGCCATTCTAGAGGGAGCAGGATTTTGGATCAGGAAACCTTTGTTCTAGTCCAAGCTCTGCAGTGTCTACTCTCCTCCCCCCAGGCCTGACCACTTTTTTTTTGCCAGGTGAAGATAATGATCCATTGATATCAAACCATGCCACAAGGGTTAAATGAGACATGAAAGTGCTTTGTCCCTTGGCATTTCTGCCCTTCCTGCTGTCAGTGCCAAAACCCTTAGCTCAGACTTGGCAGGAGGCATGGTGAGCTGCCAGCCTCAAGGCCTAGCTCTGTCACTTACTAGCTGTCTGTTCCTTGGCAAGGGATTTACTGCTCTGTGCCCCACGCACAGAACCCACTCGATAAATGGCAGCAACCGTGATGACCTATTGCCATTAATGTTCTCTGATTCAGGAATGGCTTGAGCTGAGCTGGGGAGGAGGATGGTGTCTGTGATATAGACACACACACACACACACACACACACACACACACTAAAGAAAGGGGTACCCATTTGGTGCCAAGAGTCCAAAGTCCAGGCAAGATGAGACAGTTCTGACCCTGACTGTTTTTAGTATTGAGCTTTTTGTAGGACCCCTACCTACTCTCCTGCCATCTTGTAAAGTAGATCCTGACTGTTTTTAGTATTGAGCTTTTTGTAAGACCCCTACCTACTCTCCTGCCATCTTGTAAAGTAGATAGTTTGGGGGCACTGAGGGAAGGGGTGAGAGTCGGAATTAGAATCTGTTTACTCCTCCCCCCAGAGCTCCCACCTTCACCCTCTCTGGTCCACCAGAGGGAAGAGGGGTCTGAAAAGGTTCCTATTGGCGGAGCATGATATCAGCTAGGAAAGCGTTCAGCCGCAGGTAGAAGAGAACCCCCTAATTTGAACAAACATGAGTTTATTTTTCTCATGCCATAGTGTGGCTGAGCAGCTGAATGATGCCAGGCACAGAGTCTGGGCGAGTCTCCGTGCTTGCCACTGCGAGGTAATAAGACAGCAGCCACGGACCCCTAACGCTGGGGCCATGCCGAGATCAAAGGGGCTCTGACGTGGAGGGAGCAGGTGTGCCTGACACATTTCCCGTTGTTAGAGAAGCAGACATTTTCAGCTAACCCTGGGCAGACTTACTTGGGTCTTATTGACCAGAACTGGATTGCACGGTCACTCCTGAATGCAAGGGACGTGGGCATGTAAAATTTTTGTTTTCCAACCTTTGTCGTCTGAGACAGTGAGAGAACAGTTGGGAATGGCTTTCGGGTAGTTCATCAGCAGTGTTGCACATTCCAGGCCCTTGCCTTGAAGACTGGATCAGTGTCCTGGGTCTGCACTATCAAAGCACCACAAACAGGGGGTAGGATGTGGGGGGAGAAGGGGGTAGAACAACAAAGATCTCTCACAGCTCTGGTGGCCAGAAGTCTGACGTCAAGGTGCTGGCAGGCTGTCTCTCTGAAGGCTCTAGGGGAGGACGCTTCCTGCCTTTCCAGCTTTGGTGGCCCCAGGTGTCCCTTGGCTTGTGGTTGCATCCCTCCATCTCTGCCTCTGTCCTCACAAGGCCTCCTTCCTGTGTCTCTTTTTAGGACACAAGTCCTACTGGATGAGGCCCACCCTAATGACATTATCTCAACCTGATTTTATCTGCAGAGACCCTGTTTCCAAATGAGGCCACATTCACAGGGAGCAGGAGTTAGGACCTCAACACATATTTTTGGGGGGACACAACTCAACCCACAACAGAGACAGGGAAGGTAAAGGGCCACATCTGCCCATGATCTTCCTCCATGATCAAACACCCGCCCCCCGACTCCCACCCATTCTTGTGGCCTTGGGTCACCCTTGCCTGAGTGGGGGCTTTCCCATTCCCCTCCGTCCTCACACCCGCTCCTCAACACAAGAGTCCCAAATCATGCAAGAGACAAAATGGTTTTCAAACCCTACACTGACCTGCTCAGCACCAAACCCTCCACCCACCTGAAACCTGGCCTGCGCCGTCCACGTGCTACCTCGATGCTCAGGGTTCCGTGGGTTATCTTTCTAGGCAGCGGGCCAGCTCCTCACCGGGCCAGCACGGCCGTGGTTAGCCATCCCCTGATGATGCTTATATGCAGCCAAAGCTGCAAGTCCCTGCTCTAGTCCTCAGCTTTGTGATGGTGTGAGGACACTGCTCAGGATCCCTGCTCTGGGTCACGCTGCTTAACAACATGATATCAGGGAGGGGTGTGCAATAAGTGTTACACCTGAGGATCATAAGCCCAACTTCTAACATTTATTGAGTACCTGCCACAAGCCAGTTTTCACACCTCTCATCTTCGACATTATGAGGTAGAGCTACTGGGAGGTGGACAGTAACTTACTAGGTGTACCCAGGTCTGTGATGTATAAAAGCCTTTGTTGTTTGGTTCTTTTTGGGGGGTGAGGGAATGCAATTTTCTGGGACGTTACCCCAAAGGGGGAATTGTGTTAAAAGACTTTACCAAGATTACTTCTAGCCCTGGGAACTTATAAGACGCCAGGATAAAATGTGGTTAGATATACCTGGCTCCCTGGTCTTCATTACTAGTTATCCAGAAGAGGGCACGTGTGTCTGATTCCTATCAACCTCTGAAGCCACACTGGTTGATTTTAATATCTTATGTCTTGCACAGGGAACAGAAGTTCTTATAAACGGAATGGATGAATATATGGATGGAGGTGCAACAGAAGAAAGAAATTGCCTAATGCCAAATCTCCGTTTCTCCCCCATCTAGTGTCTCCACCCCTAGAAATTCACCAAGAGCAGAGATGTGTTAATTTCTACTGCTGCATAACAAGCTAGCACAAACCTAGTGGCTTAAAACAACCCCCATGTATCATCTGACAATCTACAGGCAGAAATCTGAACAGGCTTAACTAGGTTCTCTGCTCAGGTCTCACAGGTGAAAACAACGGTGTCACCCAGCTAGACTCTTGGAGAATCTGCCTCCAGGCTCATTCAGGTTGTGGCAGAATCTACTTTTTTGAGGTTGTAGGTCTAAGGTTCATGCTGGCTATAGGCCGGGGCCACTCTCTGCTCCCACATTCCTTCTCACATGGCCCCATCTGTCTTCAAAGCCGCAACGGCATGTCATGTCCTTCTGACCCTCCCAGGATCTCGGAGTTCCCTTCTGCCACTGGCCAGGGAAGGCACCATCTTCCTCCTTCCTGGACCCTCTTTTGGCACAGAGGAATTTGAAGGAACTCACACCTTACGGTCACAGAAAATACATAACAGGGCCTGGCTTCCCATGGGAAACCCAAATATTCATACTGAACAAGCCTGTCTTCTGCACGGCTGTGGGACAGGCCATCTGTTAGTTCAGACTTAGAAGAGTTGACCATTGGATTTCCTCTTCCTTTTTGTGTGGACAAGCTGTCAATGCTTTTCAAAATCGATTCTCAGAATGAAGTTTCAATTTCCCAACCCAGCAGATTCTTCATCACTAAGCAGAGATGATTCTGACAGCAACGTAAGATATCTACAAAGGGTCCCCAAACTCTCAGAGTGCGGCCACAGGGGCTCCAGACAATTCTGCTTTCCCCTCTCTCTACTGGGTCAATAGTGTCCCCCTGGAACCTATGAACGTGACCTTATTTAGGAACGGGATCTTCGCAGATGTAATCTGCAAAGTTAAATGAAGGCAAACCGAATTAGGGTGGGCTCTAAATCTAATGACTGATGTCCTTATGCGAAGAGGAAGTTTTGGGTGCAGACACACACAAAGAAGGCTGCGTGACGATGAAGGCACAGGTGGGAGTGATGGAGCTATGAAGCCATCACCACGAGCTGGGAGAGAGGCTTGGGGCAGATTCTCCATCAGAGCTCTGAGACACCTTGATTTCAAACGTCTAGCCTCCAGAACTGAAAAAAATAAATTTCTGTTGTTTTAAGCCACCAAGTTTGCAGAACTTTGTTACAGCAGCCCTAGGAAACTAATACACCTACTAAATTTAATCTATGGTTGGCCACAGACCTCAATACTCCCTATTTTATTCTGCCATATAGTTTCACTCATTTACTCTTTGCCTGGCTCCTTAAAGCATTTTAATTTGCATCCCCTGGTTTAATTAATACATTTAATAAAAACGGTTTCAAAAGCAAATACCTCATACTCTACATAAGAGTAAACTTCAAATGGATCAGGGGTCTAAATATGAAAAAATGAACCCATCTACATAATAGAAGAAAACATGGGTTAATGTATTTATAATCTGGGTGTAAGGAAAGGTTTCTAACCACAACCCAAAATCCAGATGCAATATAAAAAGACATCAATACATTTAACTTTACATAAAAATAAAAACAACTTTTTCAAGGTTAAAACAAACAAACACTAAGAATGAAGTCAAAGGCAATGACAAACTGGGAGAGAAAATTTAAAAATAAAACACAGATAAAGGGCTAATATCCCTAATATCTAAAGAACTCTAAAAAATTGACAGAAACAAACAAACAAACAAAGAAACAAAAAAAGGAGCTCTTACCCTTGCGACAGCATGGATGGACCTGGAGACTATTATGCTAAGTAAAATAAGCCAGTCAAAGAAAGCGAAATATCACATGATCTCACCTATGTGTGGAATCTAATGAACATAATAAAATGACAAACAAAATAGGTCCAGAGGCATGGATGCATGGAACAGAATAATAGATTTCAGTGGGGAGAGGGGGACAAAAAGAGGGAATATGGGGGACATCTATAATATTGTCAACAATTAAAAA